CCAATGTGCCTAAGCCTGCAGTGTTGTTTACACCTTCCCAAACTTTCCAAAGTCGCAAGAGCCTCGCGTTGCCGTTTGCAGTTCTAGATTTTTCGGCGGGCGCTACCAATTTGTTTGTCACAAATCCCTTGCCATCTCTCACAACCTTGCGTCACGAGAAATGTATTGCAACATTCTAAGACTTAGATGTTTCCTCCATCTTCGGCCTTGACGGTGAAAGTGATTTGCAGCTTAATGCACTGACGCCATCTGCCCATTCACCTGTTCACGAAAACATTAATTTGTTTGGCCCCTCAATTGATGGCGAACTTGAAGAACCACACTGTGAAAAGCTTCTAGAACTTCTTCACCAGTTTCGCAGCTTGTTCGATTGCCAGCAGACGTCCTTAGGCCGAACGCACACCGTTGTCCATCCCATTAACACCGGATCCCAAAGCACTCTGCGACAGCGTCCTTATCGGGTATCTACTGTTGAGCGTCGTGTGATCACCGAGCAAGTGGCCGACATGCTTCAACGTGGCGTCATTCGGCCGTCCAGCAGTCATTGGTCTTCACCTGTGGTACTTGTTAGAAAAAAAAACGTCTCGATTCGCTTTTGCGTCGATTACCGCCATTTAAACAAAGTCACGCTTAAAGACGTATACCCTTTGCTGCACATCGATAATGCCTTGGACTGCTTGCAAGGTGCTGAATTTTTCTCATCACTAGACCTACGGTCCAGTTCTTGGCAGGTCCCCATGGCACCATCAGATCGTCCAAAAACTGTTTTTGTGACACCCGATGGGCTATACGAATTCAATGTAATGCCCTTCGGCCTTTGTAATGCACCAGCTACATTCGAAAGGATGATAGATAGCGTCTTGCATGGGCTTAAATGGAAGACATGTCTTTGCTACTTGGATGATGTCGTTGTTTTCTCCCCTGATTTTGACAGCCACCTCCATTGTCTCAGCGTAGTCTTGAGCTGCCTCACGAGCGCAGACCTTCAACTAAACATCAAGAAGTGCCACTTTGGAGCTCGGAAACTCACAATACTTGGCCACGTTGTCTCAAAACATGCATGGCGTCCTCCCAGACCCAGCGAAGCTTCGTGTTGTCGCTGAGTTTCCGAAGCCTACGACCATGAAAGCGCTTCGTAGCTTTGTCGGACTGTGCTCGCATTTTCGCCGATTTGTGAAGAACTTTGCTTCGATAATCGCACCACTGACACAGCTTATTACTGGCGATGAACACCTCTCTGATTGGTCACCAGCATGCGATGATGCTTTTGCAACATTATGCCGTCTCCTTACTTCACCACCTATTTTACGCCACTTCGGCCCTACTGATCCAACCAAGGTGCACACGGATGTGAGTGGCATAGGACTTGGCGCACTTCTTGCTCAACGCAAGCCTGGCTTCTCGGAGTATGTAGTTGCGTATGCCAGTCGCACACTAACCAAGGCAGAGCACAAATACTCGGTTTCCGAAAAGGAATGTTTGGCCATTGTTTGTTAAATACAAAAATTTTGTCCTTACTTATATGGACGCCCATTTGATGTAGTTACAGATCACCATTCACTCTGTTGGCTCGCTTCATTGAAGGATCCTTTGGGCCGGCTTAGACGTTGGGCGCTACGATTACAGGAATTTGATATTCACGTCATTCACTGCTCAGGCCGCAAGCATACCGACGCAGATGCTCGTTCTCGTTCGCCCCTTCCTTCAGCCGTTGCACCTGTTTCCTTTGCTGAAGCTACCATTGACAGCATCGACACCACTGACATGCCTTCGGAACAACGCAAGGACCCTTGGATAGCCTCGCTCATCGTTGTTCTCTCGTCTTCGGTGACACCACGCCAGCGTCTACCTTGTGCACTACGTCAACAAATTCCCCATTATGCGATACGGGATGCCATGTTGTACCGTGGCAACTATAAGCCGGATGGTAGAAAATGGCTTCTTGTTATACCTCGCCACTTGCGCTCCAACATGTGTGCGTACTTCCATGCAGATCCTCAAAACGCACACGCTGGCATTTTGAAAACATACGACCGGCTTCTTCAGCGATTTTTCTGGCGTGGAATGTACTCGTACGTTCGCAAGTACATAAGCTCCTGCACTGAGTGTCAGCGACGGAAAACAACTGGTCATGCCTCTGGCGAATTACAACCATTGCCGTGTCCGACTCGACCGTTTGTTGATAGAATCGGCATCGACCTCTACGGGCTACTACCTTGTACTCCTGCTGGAAATCACTGGATTATTGTGGCCATTGACCATCTAACCCGTTACGCTGAAACCGCCGCTTTGCCAGCCGCTGCTGCTCGTGATGTCACCTTGTTCATCTTGCGTGGCTTTGTACTTCGCCATGGCGCCACGTGAGCTGCTTAGCGACCTTGGGTGTGCGTTTTTATCGCAAATCGTCCAGGAGCTTCTAAGTGAGTGCAATATTATTGATCGCACCACTACAAGCTATCACCCACAGACAAATGGTTTGACGGAGTGCTTTATACGCACGCTCGGTGATATGCTCTCTATGTACATATACTCCGACCGTTCTAATTGGGACTTGGTGCTCCCTTTCGTGATGTATGTGTATAATACAGCCATGCAAGCAATTACTGGGTTTTCACCTTTTTTCTACTGTACGAACGTGAGCCCTCTTATATGCTTGACACGGTACTTACTTACCACCCAGATGCTTCAGAATACCGCCCAGTCTCCAAACTTGTTCAGTGTGCCGAAGAGTGCCGCCAATTAGCGCGTTTATTTACGTCCGTCGTACAAGGTCTCCAAAAAGAATGACTTGACCAAGACAAGCCTGCTCACAGCTTCCCTGTAGGCTCATTTGTATGGCTTCCGGTTTCATTCCAGTCCCCCGGCCTCTCCCGAAAGTTTGCACCCAAGTACAATGGTCCATACCGCATCGTTCAATGCACTTCACCGGTCAACTACGTCATCAAACCAGTGACACCTGCCGATGACAGACGATGCCGGGAGACAGTCCACATCAGCCACTTAATGCCTTACTATGACCCCCTTGTGCTTGCTTCGACGTGAGTCGCCAGGATGGCTCCTCTTCACCACCGGGGCAAATGTAGTGGGAAAGAAGGAGAGAGACAGTATCTAGTCGGATTGCTTGGAAGACCACTACGACGAAGAGCTAAGCTCGTGACTGACGCCCCTTGAACCAGGCAGTTGGTTTTAGTCAATAAATCTCCTTATACAATGTATAAACTACGCAAAAGATTAAAAATGCCATTCTAGCTTACGTTTTCTTCTGACATCGGATTACGAAGTGTCTAAGGCAGTAAGTGTGCATACAATACTTTGAAAGTAAATGTGGACTGAAAAAAACACATTGAATTCATTGGCAATGGTAAAAGAATCATCAATGCTTATGGCAGATGTTCTTATCTCTGGTATGCCACTTTTATGTCTAGATAAATATCGCCATAATTTTCTTGGTTGCTCCAACATGAAAAAAGTGAAGGTGCAAGAAAAGAACTGGTCTCTTGCGGCATGCACTTTATCCTGAAAAGTATGTACCAGACTTGAAAATTCTTTTCTATCACCAGGTTTTTGAAATCTTGCATTTCAGATGTATAAGATCACGATCCATTCACAGGTACTCTTTGTTGATACAGTTTTTTTAAAGAAACGTACACGTTTTCACAATGAATGACCATGCCTTTGAACTTCGACCACAACTCATTATTATCATTTAACTAAATGTTGCCCATGACACTTAACATACATATGTTCTAGTATTAGGATGTCCCCCCGTCAGTTTCTGAAACTATGGGACCTCTGAATGTAATACTTCACTAATTATGTTATTTTTGTATCCAAAGAAAGAATAAAATTGATTGATTGAAAAGAATAGGGATTCCATGCAACCAATGACCCTATCACCATCCGCATGCATATAGTCTCATGTTGGAGCAAATTTCAAATGAGCCATCTCTGGACTTGTTTTCACGAACTAGGCACTGCTACACGTTCGCGGCATGTGATTACATAAATTGAGCTGATAGAACCCTAACAATGAACAGAATTAATTAATCATTCAGTGACATGCCAGAAACAAGCACTGACATGCATACTAGTGAGCCTTAATGTTGAAATATACGATGATATTTATGCTTCAAAAGACGTTTATTCAAGTTTAAGAGTCAACACAATTTAAATAGAAAGAAATCAGTAATTTGCACTTTCTTGCATTTATTTTGTCGCTACTATGTGAGCCCCATTTTCAGATTGCCCAAAAGCTCCAGCGCAGTGTCCAAATTCTCGTTAGCTAAGTGATGCTGTATTTTCGTTGTTCCATATTCAGAGCAAGTTTCGTTTCGCAACACTTAGTGATCACTTTAGGCCAACTTCTGCAAGGAGCAATGAAAAGCAGTGGCTCTGAGTTTGAATTAAGTGTTGTGAACACTGGCGCATATGAATTAGCACTTTTTCCCGAGGCTGCGCCAGAACCAGGACGTTGCTTCAAGTTAACTGTCAGCTCAGATTAACCTAATTCGAATTGACAAGTTCACTGTATATCTGTGCCTTAAAACCAGGATGTGTTAATCTGCAGCGCTCGCAGCCAAGATATTAACTTTGGAACACCCTTTTCTTTTCCTGCAATCATCACATTGCACAGGATCTTTTCATAAGCAAGGAGGTGAGCAATAGTTCCTCACACACTACCTGAATGAGATCTCAGGTTGCATATTCCGTCCCTGCTGGTGGAAGCTTGGCTTTTTGCCCATCTAAATGTTTTCTAATCTGCATTATAATTACTACAAATAACATTTTCTGTGCTTTTCTTGGGTTGACTGCCAGTTATCATTTAGGTTGTGTCTAACAAAGAAAAATGACCTTAAATTTTTCTTCTTTTGTTCACAATACACAACAGAGCTGGTAGATCTCAACAAGATCACAACAGTACATGTGGAGAGAGACAAGGTGGCTCATTTCGCAAGAGCCATGCTTCAAACTATGAGGCCTTCAATTCCCTTTAAACTTACCAGGAACCTCTGTGTAGCCTTCTCCACTTTAGTGAGATTAATTTGGAAAAGATGTCGCGACCTGGACTCGAGTGAGTAAGTTAAGAGGTCGAGTGATGTCTTGGGAGTTGATAGATGACCATGCGAGGACTGCACCACCTGGTGAAAAGGACAGGAGGATGAATTAGCAAAAAAAGATGTTCACTTCTCCTGTCTTGGAAACTGTTTTAGTTCAATAGCAAATACAAAAGCACTGTAGGTGAGTTATTACTGCTGCTACAGTCACTGTGAGAATCATGTTCTATGCCAGTAGGCTCTCGATAATTCAAACTTGGGGAGACCTTAGGATTAAGATCGAATAATGCTTTGTGATCTTTATTATACAAAGTACAGTAAACAAAGTACAGTAGACACAAGTAAGAGGCAGGGTTGGCAAAAAGGCAAATTAATGCTTGACAAGGTGCCGTCACCCGTCCCAGACTATAAAGTGCAAAAAAAGCAGCAATGTACACATAATTTAAGTGTTTTAACAAAGAAGCAGCCACATTTACAAATTTTTTATAAAAACTTATAGAAAAAACGTTGGATAAACATTTTATTAAGTACAGACCTGTCTGCAAGACTGAGTTTATAGCAAACAAGGCAAGGAATATGTGAAGAAACTCAAATTTATCGAATAACAAACCAATTTATTAGAACTCATTCATGAAAATGTCACGAGTGTATACACTTCAATTATAAATACAACCTGTGTGACACCGCAGAAAGAGGAAAAATTATTCTTGGAGCACTACTAGATATGTGTGTATCTTCTTTTAAATGCATCACGAAAAGCAACTGAGTCAGATTTCAATGCGAAACGCAAAGTAAAGCGAATACGAAAGAGAATAAAACAAAAACCTGGAGCAGTAACAGTAAATAATTTGACTGCTGCTGTGAGTGACCTAAAAACAAAAATCAAAACAGCGAAGAGCAACTATTTCACTAAAACGTTGCCAAACTTTCTAAAAAATTCCCCCAGCAAGTTTTGGAGCTACCTAAAGCCTGCAAAAAACAACAAAAGCAACACACCCCCGGAAAAAGATAACCCGATCACTGCAGACAAAATGAACAGCTATTTCAAGTCTGTATTCACTGTCGATGACGGAAACATTCCAGACATCGACTCTAGTGCGAAAGGTACCCAGGAATCGATTATTATCAATGAGCCCGGTGTCATAAATCTCTTGTTAAACTTGGACGCAAAAAAAGGAGCAGGGCCCGACAACATTCCTAACATCTTTCTTGTAAGATATGCAGAGTTGCTAGTTAAATATCTGTGCGTCATGTTTAACAAATCACTATCAACGTGCTCTTTACCTGTGGAGTGGAAAAAGGCCAAAGTTGTTCCTGTGCATAAAGGAGGAAGCAGAAATGATATATCTAACTTTAGACCTATATCCCTGACATGTACAATCTGTAAAATCTTGGAGCACATAATTCTTAAACAAATAACTGTTTTCCTAGAAGAAAAACGTATATTATCTCCCTATCAGCATGGCTTTCGCCGAGGTCTTTCAACCATAACCCAATTAGTGGAATTAACACATGAGGTATCCCAGAGTATTGACAACCAAAAACAAACTGATCTAATCTTCCTCGACTTTGCTGCCAAAGCATTCGACAAGGTATCACACAAGAAACCGCTTCAAAAACTTGAGGCCACCTTAGGAAATTCTACTGTTCTTAACTGGATCAAAAATTATCTTACTGATCGTACACAGTATGTGGAATTTAACGATGAAACCTCTGCTACCACCTCCGTCACATCTGGAGTTCCGCAGGGCTGTGTGCTGGCGCCAATTTTGTTTCTTCTCTTTATTAATGATTCGCCTACAAATATTAAGGAAAAAATCAAATTATTCGCGGATGACTGCGTGCTATATCGAGAAATAAACTCAACGGAGGACCATGTAGCTTTAAATAGTGCTTTACAAGATGTTTCCTGCTGGTGCCGTAAATGGCAGATGTCACTTAATGCAAACAAGTGTACAATTTTATCAGTAAGTAAAAAAAAATTAGGTCAAATTTTCTTTACACTATCAATGACGTTCCCATAACTAGAGTAAATCAGCATAAATATCTTGGAATTATTATAACTGAAGATCTAAGATGGGACGCACACATAAGTTACGTTACTTCAGCTGCACTACGCCGCTTGTTTGCACTCGGATACCGGCTTCGCCAGGCCCCGCCTTCTCTAAAACTGCTTGCATACACTTCCCTTGTGCGATCATTACTTGAATACGGTAATATTATTTGGTCACCATTCTCAAAACAGCAAATCACGAAACTGGAAGGAATACAAAGGAAAGCTATGAGGTTCATTTACAACAAGTACAGACATACAGATTCTCTGACTAAACTAGTTAAAAAAGCTGGATTACTTACTCTAATGAATAGAACAAGGTTAGCACGTGCAAAATTCATACATGAATTAATCCATGGTCATTTAAACATTGATGTATCCGCCTACCTTACGTTTGATCAAACTAGACCAACACGCCAAAAACACCCAATGAGACTTAACGAATACTCCTTCAACACAAACTGCTTTAAGTACTCATTCTTTCCGATAGCCACTAATGAATGGAATAAACTGGATCCGAGTATCTCCAGCACTACCGAATTAGCAAAATTTCTAACCCTTGTCGAAAATGAACTTTGTATTATGCAAACGGAATCACCTGGTTGATTTTAATATGAGTGTTCGTGTGAACATTGTACGAGCAAAGTATCATGTCATCATATTTTTTCTTTAAGCAATTTTTAGTACTGAATCCAGGTGAAGAGAAATCGCTCTGTTGATTCTTGATCATGTTTCTGTTTTTCAGTGTGTATAAATTTGCCCTTCCTTGAAATACTTAGCCATATTGTAGGGTAGTTTCTTATTGCTGTAATTTCTTGTTGTGTTTCTTGATGCATATGCCAATATGTCAACCAATGTGTCAACCAAGTCACTGCATTTATTTTCTTCTCACAACTTTTCTTTACACTAACGTTTCATGCCTTCTTTGATCTGAAATTGTTAAATGATCCGATTCTGTTAGTTTCATTCTGTACTTTATCGCAATGTATGTCTTTATTGTGTACTTATTCCAATTTTTATGTTCACACCCTTCCTGCTAAAATCCCTGATGGGATTGGCAGTATGTTGAAATAAATAAATAAATAATAAATTTATTCCATATAATCATGGCTATTTTTTTATTTAGGATGTTTTCAAACTTTAATATGTCATGTTTGTTGAAAAGTGGAGTGCAATGTGTTCTAGGTCGAACCCCTTAAATTATCCAAACTATTCTTTTCTGTAGTTTATAAACACATTCTTTGTGTTTGTAGTGTTACCCCATAATAATAAACAGTAATTTATACGCGAGTAAACTAAGGAATAGTACAGTTGCTTCGTTATCCAAATTGGCAAAAAACATCTGATTTTCCCAATTACACCAATTGAGCGCAAAACATTGGTGCGAACTTTGTTTATGTGATATGCCCAGTCGCGTGTTTCATGAAAAATGATACCGAGAAATTTTTGGGATGTGACTCGCTAAATCGATTTTCCTCGAAACTTCACTTGGATGTCCCAGGGTATAGTTTTATTTTTTGGGCGAAAAATAACATATTTTGTTTTTTTTTGGTGCTTAGCTCAATCTTATTTGCTATCAACCATATTGATAAGTGCTTAAGCCATTTGTTTGCTTGCTCCTCCAAGCTGTTGATGTCTTTGCCAGAGAAAAAAACATTCGTGTCATCTGCGTATAGAACCATGTCCGGGGTTAGTGGTATGTTAACAATATCATTGATATATAAGAGGAACAGGAGCGGGCCTAATATAGATCCTTGAGGGACGCCGTACTTCATTTTATCCATTTTAAATACTGTGTGATGCGCATCACAATACTGAAATCAATTTGTTAAGTAACTGTCTACTAATTTGAGTGAAACACCCCTTATGCCGTATTGGTTTAATTTCACCAAAAGTATTTCATGTTTGATTGAATCGAATAAGTTCTCATAAGTATGACTCAGAGCAACATATAAACCTACGTTGTAATTTTGATTATTTCTAAGGGTTATATCAACATCATAGCCTGCTCAGCACAATCACCGGTGGGAAGCACAATTCCTGTGAGAAGTATTTAAGTGACTTGTATATATTTAAAAAAAAGAAACATTTGTAAAAATCTGTTGTCTGTCATGGATTGATATGAACTAAACATTGATATTACTTTTCAGTTGTGTACCTATTATTTGTAAAGTATTTTAATTATGTCAAGTAATTCAGTGTATAACTATGCATGGTCTGATTGTAATCTTGTGTTTCACTTCTGCATGGGTTTGAGGAGGGCCTGCAGTATATGTAAATAAAATAAAAAAAGCTTTCAGGCATCAGTGATTATACTGGTGTTTGTTATAGTACAGTGCATGCCCTGCATATGTAATTGATATACTAAATGTACTATATCTAGTGACAGGTGGTAGACCCTTTCCAATATTTGTGCACTTTTTTTCCCCAACCACAATGCGACGTGGCAAAAGTTACTTACTAAACACTCAGCGCGCCATAAGCAAAGGCCAGGGCAACACGTTTTCTTCACATGACAGCCCTTCAGAGCCCATTCTTGTGTGGAGCACTGTTGTTGTTGTCCCTTGCTCCATAACCATTCACTGACACACCTTCAGCCATGCAATGCTGAGTAAGACTTGTCGTTCACTGGGCAGTCAGCTAACATCAGAAAGGCCTTAGCACCCAACCTTGCTGCTCCCTCCTACTTCTCTTCTCGAATCTTTGTTTTCCAAGTTTGCTCTCTAATGTACCCCCATTAATGCAATGCTCTTCTTTATCAGGGGAGGCAGGCTGGATTGTTCTGATAGAACCTATGACACCGAAGTGAATAATATAAATAACAAAAACCAATAAAAATTATATATAAAAAAACAAGAAAGATAAAAGATAAAATAAAATAAAACGTGCAGTTGACGCAGGGAAGCGAGACAGAAAATAAAAAAATAATATAAAAAAATAATGACATTGACAGAAACAAATATAAAACTAAAGAATTGCAAAAATCAAGAGGAATATTTAGGAAATAATTAAAAAAAAGATAAACAGTAAA